TCAGTATGCTTCGTTCAGTTTTGTTATTGCTAAACATCACCACCAACATCCCTCCACCTAAACATCACCACCACCCCTCCACCTGTCTTCTTCACTGTATCACCACCACCATCCCGTACCTAAACATCACCACCACCATCCACTCCTAAACATCACGACCACCATCACCTGTTTTTACTAAACATTTCACCACCACCATCCTCCACCCTAAACATCACCACCATCCCTCCCACCTAAACATCACCACCACCATCCCTCCACCCTAAACATCACCACCACCATCCACTCACCTAAACATCCTACCACCATCCCTCCACCCTAAACATCACCACCACCCTCCACCTGTCTTCACCTAAACATCACCACCACCATCCCCACCTACTGTAAACATCACCACCACCCTCCACCTGTCTTCTTCACCTAAACATCACCACCACCATCCCACACCTAAACATCACCACCACCATCCCTCCACCTAAACATCACCACCACCATCCTCCACCTAAACATCACCACCACCCTCCACCTGTCTTCTTCACCTAAACATCACCACCACCATCCCTCCACCTAAACATCACCACCATCCCTCCACCTAAACATCACCACCACCATCCCTCCACCTAATTATCACCACCAACCATCCCTCCACCTAAACATCACCACCACCCTCCACCTGTCTTCTTCACTAAGCATCTCCACCACCATCCCCGTACCTAACATCTTACGCATCATCCCTCCACCTAAACATCACCACCACCATCCACCACCTAAACATCACCACCACCATCCCCCACCTGTAAACATCACCACCAACATCCCACCACCTAATAATATTCCTACCTCACCACCCTCCACCTGTCTTCTTCACCTAAACATCACCACCACCATCCCCGTACCTAAACATCACCACCATCATCCTCCACTCGCTTATCCCACCCACCACCATCCACCACCTAACATCTACCACCATTCCACCATGAACATCACCACCAACATCCCACCACCTGTCTTCTTCACCTACACATCACCACCCTCCACCTGTCTTCATCACCTGCATCTCACTCAACCACCCTGTGTCATCACTAACATAAGTCGCCCATTATTCCCTCACATCAGATAACCAGCCCACCTAAACATTACCTTCTCCACAATAAACTACAAAATTCGTTTATTATAAGTTTTTTCCTCGTGTTTTTGTTGTTGCTTATTCGAGTTTTATTATTATTTTATATTCACTGTATGTGTGTGTGTGTGTGTGTGTGTGTGTGTGTGTACTATTGTTTCTTTTCTGTGTGTATTTTTACATAAGTTTCCAAGATAATAATAATAATAATAATAATAATAATAATAATAATAATAATAATAATAAATATATAGAAAATAAACAATAATTAATCGTTCTTTAGTTTTATAAATATATAAGTTTTCTGTAACATATTTTGGAATGGTTATTTTTTTTATCATTGTTTTTATTTTCAGATGTATATGATTTTTTCATTATTAATATTATTCCAGCAATATTTTTCTTTTGATTATTTTTATTTTAATATATAGTTCTTGTGTCTTTCAGTATATTACCGTTTTCTTTAATGTGCTGTATTATTTAATTTTGTTTACCACTTGTAATCCATCATAGCTTAGGGATTTACTTAACATAGGTCTTAATAGATAATGTACATAGGGAATTAAGATGGCAATATAACAAAGGGATTAGTGTATGGTATAGAGATTTACTTAAGGTTTCAGCAATACAGTATATGAAATCACTTAACATTAGAGATTTTTTTGGTTGAATAAAACAATCCATTTAGTTAACAATTTATTAGTTGAGGGAAAAAGAGGCTTGTGGTATCTGAGGAGACATGATGAGATATATGGTGAACCAAGAACACAACACCCAGTCTTCATTAATGGTACCTTGTCCTTCTCTCGGCAACACTGCTCTTACACACACACCAATATTTCCATTATTACCATGGAATATTTGCATTATTATCATGGTATTTGTGGCATGCAATGGAGCCATGAATCAGGGAATATCAGTTATCATGCATCAGGCTCCGATTTATGAGTAGCGTTGCCACTCGTTCCATATTTTTACCCGGCAAATATTTTTTTATTTATGTAGATGGGGAAAAAATACATGTAGACGAAACCACACCGACGAAACATAATTTTAACATGACGATGCATATTCAACAGCAGTCATCGTGGAGTAAATTGATATAATGAGGTTTTAACTGTAAAAGGAATGGCCGGGTGCTTGAGATAAAAGCTGAAAGAATTGAGCCATTGGCAACTGGCATGTCGGAGATGCCTGATACCACAAGACTAATGGCAGTAATTTCAGTGTTCGACAGATCACTCAATCTTCGCTATTGCACGCTGCTCAAAATCAAATCTCCGATAATAACAGGCTGGGATTCTTATTGTATATTTTGCAACAATAATATTAATGAAAAAAAAATATATAAAAGATGAAATAGGACACAACGTATGAAATTTGCTGAGTATTAAGGAAAATGTCTCTTGAAGATACAAAGGCTTGGGTACTTATTGTGTACTGCAGTAGTTATGATAATTATAATGAAAAGGACACATACGTATGGAATTTAAACAACAAGGAGTATTATAGGGAAACAAAAAGGGAAAATAACTGTCTTACAAATGTAGTTAAAATGTATTAAAGGGGGGGAATCCTCTCTCTGTGGACGGTGTTGCCATAATGCAAGTTGAAGAGGAGAATGTGTAACAGGTCGACACGTAAAACTAGTCCCCCGTTGTCTGTCAGATGCATAAGACAACAGGTATGCACGGGAGGAGGCAATGACGTCTGATTGGTTGAGTCGCTTTTCACTGAGAAGACGAGTCGCAGTCAAAACAAGATGGCGAATGAAGGATATTTTTGGATTTTTCTTTTAATAATTTTTTACCGCAAGGATTTTGGTTTTCGTGTATTATAGAAGGAATAATTTTTTTTATTGGTTAGCGAATCAGCCAATCAGATGACGTTGTATTTCCGTCAATGGATGTCTGTTGTCTGAGGTAACTGACAGCAGGGGACCAGTTTAGTGAGCACGGAGCACCGACACGGAGCTCCCCTGAGACTCTCCGTGCCCAACCACCACCATCCTCACCACTGTAATTTACAAGAGAAGGAGAAGATGGAGGAGAGGAAAGAAGAAGAATAACAATGCACGATGAAAGGGATAGGGATAATAACAGACGGTGGATAGAAAAGGAGAGAATATGAATTAGAATATACAATAGAATAATAATAAGAATTTTATACAAGGAAAATTAAATGATGAAGTAAAGTAATAGAATAAAGTTAACTTCACAAGATAAGAATATGATTGAAGAAATATGAAACGTAGACAGAAGTTGAGAGAATGGGTGGTAGGAGTGAAGAGGAGAGGAAAAATGAAGCGGGAGAGGTAGTGAAGGCTGGGCTGGGCGGTCCTCGTGCGGCTGGCAGCGAGGGTCGTGCCGGCAGCGACCGTCGTGGCCGACTCACAGCTTGACATAAATAAACATCCACGCTTATAAATATATCTACAGTCAATCATCACAGATTATTAAACATAACTCAGTGTTTTAAAACTCTCTCTCTCTCTTAACATAGCTCACTGCTTTATAACTATATTTTGGGTTGTTCATGACGGGGGCCAATAAGAGTGAAGAGTGACGCTTGGTCAACACACACCTTGGGTGGAATACAAAATTTGATGGCTGAAATCTGCTCGTGAAAATTTTAATATACATTATTATTTTCTTTCTAGTGTTACACACACACAAGAATTGGCAAAAGGTTGAGTATAGGCTGTCTGGAGATAGTTCAACTATCACAATAGTACATATAAATTTGGCATCCTAAGAAAAAAAACAGAAGAAATCTTAATTATCACATACCGCTTCAATATAATAATAATAATAACATTTTCATTGACTAGACAAGCAATAACAAAGGAAAAAAGCTTAACAAAAACCAGGGCAGTTTTAGATAATATTGTAATGCAGGTAAATAATAATGATAGTAATAATAATAATAATAATAATAACTATATACAGACAAATGGTTTAAGCCCACATACACAATGTACAGAAGCAAAGATGGATGTGGTAATATACAGGCGAGGGAGAGTTATATAGTGTGAGGGGAGGTGCTCTCTCTACCTCTCACTCTCCCACTAATGAGTTCTATTTTATTATAAAGTTCACTATTATCACTGTAGTTTGTTTGTTTATTGTTTTACTATTTATTTATATCACTGTAAATGCCACTGTCGTCGTCACTCATTGCGAGGGGTTTCCAGTACGGTTAATGGCCGGTCTGTAACAACACCGTCACAGCTCTATATAACAGCACGGTTACAGTCCTTCCAGCACTGATACAACTGTTACAGCACTGATACAGCACTTACAGCCCTTTCAGCATTGATACAGCACTTACAGCAGCGTCCCAACACCGTCGCGTCTGGGGGTGTCAGTATTCAGCTCTATCTACAAGACTTTCAACTAGTTTTCTTATCAACAACTCGCTGTTATAAAAGAATAATTATTATCAATATTACTCAACAACAAAATTATGGAATTATTTATTATTTCAAGTAAAGATTTTCTTTTGTAAATATTTAAAATCATCATTGCGGTAATTTTCATCCTTTTCTTCAGTAAATAGATTAAACAAAATCAGGTATTATTATTAATACAATTTTCTTAAGTTTTTCGTCTTTTAATTTTTTCTTATTCACTTTAATTATTGGTGGGTAATAGATCTGGTCGTCACAACACTCACTATATTCTGCCCTCCAGTTTTCTTTACATTTATTATTTAATTCTCATTACATTATTATTCAAATATTTTCCTCGTTCATTCTCTTGTAATTATTAAGATAATTTGTATATATAATTATCGTCCAGTATTATCAACACTACACATTCATTAACAAAATTTGACCGATAATTACCACATTTAATCTTCACTATTAAGTCACGTTAAAAATAATTTGACATCTTTCGTGGTATTGTTTCTATTCCATAATTTTTTAAACTATATTCACAGTCTTATCAAGTACCGATATAAATATATTTAGAAATATTCATAATTTTTCTTGTCATTGAAAAACTTGTATTAATAATAATACATAAAGTTCATTAATTTATTTCATCAAGTACACAATTATTTCCAAAGTTTTATGATAAGTTTCCATCCAAAATTGTTATATGAATTTTTCAACACTACAGCAGAAAGGATTATTATTATTCTTTATTAAATTTTCATGATCAATTCTCGTTCGTTTTTTTTAAATTACATAATATAATTTTTAATTTGTTCACAGCACAACAAAGTAATTTTCTACATAGGATAACAAATTTAAAAAATCAGGAATATATGCAAATTGTCCTGTCACATATTGTAGGTAAACACTGAACACCTGGCGGGGGTAGGCGGCGGTCAGCGCTGGTTATGGTGGTTCATCTGTGGGTCAGCCCCATGCACCAGGGCGGGCTGACTGGGTAGGATGTGGTCACCATCCTATCCTGGGCTTAGGCAGTAGGGTGTGGTTAACCCTCTCCCACACTGGGTTAGGTAGGATGTGGTCAGCATCGTATCCTGGACTGACGAGGAGGGGGGGTCATACCTGTCTCACACTGGGCAGGAGGTGGTCAGCCCCCACCTCCCCTGATCCTCACTCGAGGGTGTAGGAGGGGTGTGGAGTGACCCAGGGTGATAGTACACGAGGTAGCAGGAGGGAGGGAGGGAGGAGGAGGGAGGGTGTGGAGTGTCCCAGGAGGGAGGTGGTGGTGTTGGGGACAGATCTTATCCCGCCTTGTCCAGACGGGTGTCGCTGCTCGCCTGCTTGGCCTGGCTGGGGTCAGGGGACAACACACAGGTCCTGCAGCTGTTGTGGCCGTCCTCTGCCCCAGCGGCCCACGTCTTGGTCAGCTGCATGAAGCTGCATTACTTGAGCTACCCAGAGCATCAAGTGTAGAATATACATTGTCCCATATTTTACTTGTCAAGGAGAAATGTGGTATCAGTTGAGGGTTGAGGCGCTTGGCTCTTGTTGATGGTGCTGTTGATATCTGGCGGCCATCACGGTGGGGCGCTGCAGCCTGTCTCTGGTGTCAGCGGAGGATGATGTAGGGCGTGCTGCTGCAGGTGACACTTGTACTGGCTGGCGGAGTTACTTGTGTGTGTGTGTGTGTGTGTGTGTCTGCTACATGTGGAGGGGGACGGGTCTGGGCCCCGGCTGCTGCTGGGCCGCCAGGGCGTGCAGCTGGTGGTTCCTCGTGGGAGGCTGAGCATCGGGCATGGCGAATTTTAATTTTTCCCAGAAGTGAGTGTCGCCCCACTTGAGGTACGTGTTTGTCTTAAGGTAGAGTCGGATGTCCGGGTCCAGGTCTCTCTGGGGGACATCGCCCAGCAGGATGACAATAAGTCGCCGCCGCCGGTCCTTGAGTACCTCATGGTGCGCTGAGCGGAACTCGAAGCGACACCATTCTGATTTGATAAAGTTTTCTGATAATATTAATATGGTGCGCTTGCTGGTCTCCACAGCGCTGAGGATGGTGTCGGTGATGTAGGCGCCGACGGGGAAGTCTCGGTAGTGGAGACAAAGCTTGTAGGCGGGGCTGCCGCGCTCCAGCTCTGGCGCCAGAATCTGTGTCACGAACACTTCGTCTTTGGAGCTGTAACTGACGAAGGCGTCGAAGGCTTTATCTGTATCTCCCTCGTACTCGCTCCTGTAGAAGAGCCTGACCCCGTACTTGGCGTAGACCCACACCCTCATGCGGTTCCTGTTGCAGAAGATGATGAGGGTGATGGTGAGGAGGACGGCGAAGGCTCCGAGGGTGATGGTGGGCAGGAAGACGTAGTCCAGGTAGGCCTCGTGTCTTATGGTGGTCGTCTCCGTCTCGTTGTTGCAAGAGGAGAGGTTGAAGGTAGACACTTGTGCCATCACCTCGACTGACCTGTTAAGAGAGCAGAAGATCTTGTCAGCGTCCTTGAGCATCCTGCCGGGGCCCTGCAGCCATGTCTGGATGTCCTCCAGCTCGTCACAGTCACAGCGCCAGGGGTTGTCGCTCAGGTGGAGGGAGTGGAGGTTATGGTTCTTCAGGAACATGTTGGCTGGGAATGTTTTGAGACGATTATCATCTAACCTCAGCACCCTCAGCGAGACAAGGGTTAAGAATGTTGCGTTCTGTATGTAAAACAACTCATTACTATGTAAATACAATTCACGTAAAAGGGTAAGATGCTCAAACTCGTAACCTTTGAGTTCCTTGATATAATTACGTTCCAAGTGGAGGGTTTCAAGCAGTTTCAGACCGTTGAACGTTCTATTGTGAATAACCTCCACTTTGCTGTCGTTCAGGTAGAGCACTTTGAGATTTTTTCTGCCGATGAACGTGTGGCTGGAGAGGGAGTCCAGGTCATTACCGTCCAGGTACACTTCAGAAGAATCCATTGGTATCCTGTCGGGCACAGCGTCATAGCCAGCCAGCGAGCAGTCGACGATATTGGCCGCCCAAGACTCGTCGTGGAAACAAGTACAGTTGGTGGGACAGGTCATCTCACAATCACAGGCGTCGAAGTCGCAGCAGTGACAGAGAGCAAAGCAGTGCGACTCGTACTCACAGAGGAACTGCAGTTTCTGTGCCTCCAGCAGGGGGATCACGGCGTTGTTGTTCATGAGTCTACAGTTGATGCTGTCCAGGTCGATCACTGTGGGGTGTTGTCTGGTCTCCTCCAGGCTGTTGATGGTCTGCAGCCACTCCATCGTGCAGTCACACTCGAACGGGTTCCCACCCAGGTAGAACTCGGGAAGGTCACGTGAGGGATCCATTAAGGACAGCCTCAGGGCGTTCTGATCAATATTCTTGATCTTGTTAGCGAAGAGATCGACACGGGTGAGATTTTTCTTTTTGAAGAAGGCGTATGGCTGTACCCTGGAGATGAGGTTGTTGTTCAGGAAGAGGATCTCCACACTATCTGGCACTGAACTGGCACTAATGTCTGATAACTTGTTAAAACTGGCATCAATTATCATCAGGTTTAGTTGACTCTCTATCTCAAAATAATTTCCAAGTTCATTGATAAAATTTGAGCGGAGGTCTAGGTACTTGAGTCCCCTGGGGATAAAGGCGTAGTCAAACAACTCCAGGTGATTTTTGGACAAGTTGAGCCACTGAAGGTTTGGTAAATCAGAAAACAGACCATGAACGTTTGTCAACACATTATTGTCTAGCCTGATGGCCTCCAGGTGTTTGTTATTGTCAAAAGCACCGTTCTCTATCGTGTGAATTTTATTGCTGCCCAGATCCAGGACTTGGAGGGCTGGCAGGTTTTTGAAAACACTCTTAGTAATATTCTCCACCACGTTAGCGGCCAGTTTTAGGGCACTGAGGTGGTGCAGGTCGGTAAAGGAACTGTTGCTGATAACACTTACATGATTACCGCTCAGGTCGAGGGTTCTGAGCGAGGCCAAACTCTGCACCAACTTGGGCACGTCCTGTAGGTAGTTGTGACTCAGCTCCAACTCCTGCAGCTCTGTGGAGTTAGTGAGGGCGTGGCTATCCACGCTGAACACTTCATTGTTATCCAACTTTAACACCTGCAGGCCGATTAGACCCGCCAGAGTCTTATCACTGATCACTTTGACTCTGTTATCAGACAGCACTAACGTGTGTAATCTAAACAGTCCACTGAACGTGTTATCTGAAATTGTTTCTATCATATTCTGCTGTAATTTTAACACTCGCAGGTTGGTCAGGTCACGAAACGTGGCAGCATCGAGTCTGGTGATTCTGTTGTTAGACAGATCGAGGCTGGCGAGTCTCAACAGATCGGTGAAGGTCTCTGAATTGACCCAGGTGTTGGTGAGCTGGTTGTCTGTGAGCTCCAGCTCCAGCAGGAGGCTGAGGCCCGTGAAGAGCCCCGGGGCCAAGACACTCACCGAGTTGTTCCTGATACACAACTTGGTGAGTCTCTTGTTCTCCTGGAAGAGTTCAGGTGGTAGCGCAGTCAACAAGTTCCCCGACAGGTCCAACACTTCCAGGGAGTACATACCAAAGAGAGCCTTGTCCTCCAGTTTGCTAATGCCATTCAGACTCATGTTGAGTATTTGCAAGTTTTTGAGCGCTGCAAATGCAAATGCCGGAACACTCACTAAGTGGTTGAAGGACACGTCGAGGGACCGTAGCCCCGGCGCACATATATGCTCCACTTGACTGAAACTGAGAACTGTCACGTCTTGTAGTTTGTTTCTGGACAGATTGAGGAGCCTGAGATTTTCCAGGTGGCAGAGGAGTGCCGGGGGCAGCGTCCAGATGTTGTTGTCCCCCAGGTCCAGCCTTTCCAGGTTCCTCTGCTCTCTGAAGGCGTCGTTGGCGATCTTGAGGGTCATGGCGGACCAGTCGGTGTTGTAGGTCCTCAGCGTGAGGTTCCTGAGGTTGGCGAGGCCTATGAACGCCTCCCGCGGGACCTCACCGATCTTGCAGTACTCTATATCGAGCTCCTGCAACTCTCGCAGCCTCACAAAACTCTTGTTCTGTAGCGCACTTTGGAAGAAGAGGACGTCACTACACTCAATCCTGAGCTTGACGGTGTTCCTGGTGGGGATCATGCTGAAGTTGGTGGGGTCCAGTTCACTGTTGATGGTTCGTAGTCGACAGAGGAGGGCGACGAGGTCGGTGCCCGCCAGCGAGGTGACCTGACAGTCATCAGGGCTGTGGTACTGTGGGCCTACGTTCCCCGCCACAGCCCACAGCAGGGCCGCCAAGCTCCAGCCCCACAATATTCGCATTTTGCTGCACGGCCTGTTTCACCAGAGCGCCATTATCCTGGCTAGTCCGGGGCCGACCGGTCTCGCCATCTTAGGATACGCGATGCAGAGTCCTCATTACTCCTCGGTAAAAAACATGTGAGCCTGACTGGTCCCATCACTTCGTTTCACTTGCACACTTGGCAGTATTCCACTCCTCCCCTCCACCACATCCTAGCACTGGGTATTTTATCCATAAATAGCCAATTAACAGCTCCAATCAAGCGAAAATGTGGGAGCGTGTGAGTGTGTGTCGGTGCGCGGTGTCTAGAGGCAGGTCCACTGGCCCGACGCATTCATCACTGGTCGCCCGAGGCTAACAACATGGCCGACCATGTAACTCCGCCGCTCGCCGCTAGAGTGCCCGCTCAGCACTCAACCACAGCCCCTCTCTCGCACCTCCTCCACCATAAATGCTCCAGATTAATTAACCAAAACACACACGCTAATTTTTAGATACCAATTACGATCGTTTTAACTGGGAGAGAGACGAGAGGCCTTACTCTTGAGATGTCGGTGTTTGGGTAAAGCGTCCGCCAGCTTCTGTTATCGGTACAAATCAGTAACGGTACCTCGGTGGGCTCATGGATGACCCCCGCCAGTGCAAGCACAAAGAAAATGAAGTAGTGAGCCGCTCCTCTACACCCGAAACAAGGCTCCATTTCACTCCCGGGTCAACTTATATTATGACTCGCCTTGTTAACAATGACTCCCGTGGAAGGTGTTGTACGAGACGGAACAGATTAATAATATGGGTTAATGAACATCGTCCGAACACAATGAAAATAACGCGGGGGGTGAGACGAGAGTGCTAGCGCTGCCCCCCTTTGTGTAGAGTAGTGGACAGTGTGGGTGGGGGCGTAGGGGAGGGGTGTGGTGGGGGAAGAGCCTCGCACGCCCACACTTAGGGAAGAGGAGGGTGGGGATGGGGGGACTTTTAAAACATCCCTCTTTCAAATATCGGAAAAATAAAACAGGTGCATTAAACATCAGGTGTGTGTGTGTGTGTGTGTGTGTGTGTGTGTGTGTGTGTTGATGCTACCTGCTTCATCCACCCCACACATATACAGCCCCACCTCACCCACAGTCCCATACCATCCACCCCAGCCGCCCAAATACCAACTCTACCCCCACACACACCTCCCACCCCCTCCCACCCCCCACCCCCACACCCCCCCACCCCCACCCCGTTGCAGATAAGATGAGTTGTTTATATACTAGAGTGTAAACAATGGTGTGTCTGATGAGAGTTTATTGTTTATCTCTCTCTCTCTCTTGTCATTATTCTATTTATTAATGTTATAAGTAGATAGATAGATAAATACCATTAATTACATTTATCAATAGACGTGTGTGAGAGAGAGAGAGAGAGAGAGAGAGAGAGAGAGAGAGAGAGGGAGGTGACTTCAACGCAGTGGTCGGAAGTGATCCACCTCGACTCCCCGGTTTTGAGAGACCTGAGTGAGAGACATTACTGAGAGACACTTAACCGAGAGACATAACTGATACACACACACACACACATAATACAAAGTGTAGAAAGTGACCAGGATATTCTGAGACAAGTGGAATGTGGTGATTGATGGAACAAGTGGAATGTGGTAATTGATGGGACAAGATGAATGTGGTGATTGAAGGAACAAGTTGGAATGTGGTGATTGAAGGAGCAAGTGGAATGTGGTGATTGAAGGAACAAGTTGGAATGCGGTGATTGAAGGAGCTAGTGGAATGTGGTGATTGAAGGAACAAGTTAGAATGTGGTGATTGAAGGAACAAGTGGAATGCAGTGATTGAAGGAGCAAGTGGAATGTGGTAATTGATGGGACAAATGGAATGTGGTGATTGAAGGAACAAGTGGAATGTGGTGATTGAGAGAACAAATGGAATGTGGTGATTGAAGGATTAAGTAAAGTGGAATGTGGTGATTGATGGAACAAATGGAATGTGGTGATTGAGAGAACAAATGGAATGTGGTGATTGAAGGAACAAGTTGGAATGCGGTGATTGAAGGAACAAGTGGAATGTGGTGATTGAAGGAACAGGTGGATAGCTTCCCTGATAACTTGTTGAGAGAGAGAGAGAGAGAGAGAGAGAGAGAGAGAGAGAGAGTTGTGGTTTTCTTAGCTCCCTCTCATCTCCTCACCACACGGCTCACACTGTTGCCACATCCACAACACACCCACACGCCACACACACTTCTCTCTCTCTTTCTCTCTCTCTCTCTCTATCTCTCACATGTTAAACTATCTCATTTTAACTTCTCTAGAGATAATTTATTCACAACATTAATTAATTTTTTTTATAGTTTATTCTGGTTTATGTAGGAAGGAAACTATAATCGATTTATTTTACTTGGTATTAACTTTGCCCACGGTGTCGTATTTCGCGCCAAATCCAAAGCTAGTTTATCCTGTGAGTGTTATAGCTGTCTGTTTAGCTGTCTTCAATGGGTTTTCTTGAAATTTGAGGATATTAGCTTGATTATAGCTTTTTGTGTAATGATTATCGCTTAATGAGTTGTTTTTATTCTGAGTATTAATAATTATAGTATTTTGGTTAATAATTTTAGCTTTTTTATATTTGAGTGTTTAGCTGTTTAGCTTATTATATTTATATTCTTAAGTGAATGGTGACGTAAGAACACATGTGATTTGTGACGTTATTGGTGACGTAAGAACACATGTGATTTGTGACGTTATTGGTGACTTTATTCCATTAACTGTCTACCATAACCTGTTTTAACTGCTACACATAAAGGTCGAGTCTCAGTGCTACATAGACGCCATTTTGCTCACCTTATCTGTACTGGAGGTTCTGAGTAAATGAGTTAAGGGTTATTTTTCACGTCTACAGTTAAGGAAAGACATTAACTTAGGAACTTTTGAGAATCCACAAGTTAGGAGGATAATATTTAACTTGTGAGGTTTTGAGAGCCAGATATAGACGTCAGGAGCCAGGTATAGACGCCAGGAACCAGGTATAGACGTCAGGAGCCAGGTATAGACGCCAGGAACCAGGTATAGACGCCAGGTATAGACGCCAGGAGCCAGGTATAGACGCCAGGAGCCAGGTATAGACGTCAGATATAGACGCCAGGTATAGACGCCAGGAGCCAGGTATAGACGCCAGGAGCCAGGTATAGACGTCAGATAGACGCCAGTATAGACGCCAGGAGCCAGGTATAGACGCCAGGTATAGACGCCAGGAGCCAAGTATAGACGCCAGGAACCAGGTATAGAAGCCAGTAGCCAGGTATAGACGCCAGTAGCCAGGTATAGACACCAAGAGCCAAGTATAGACGCCAGGAGTCAGATATAGACGTCAGATATAGACGCCAGGAGTCAGGTATAGACGTCAGTTATAGACTCCAGGAGCCAGGAGAGACGCCGGGTATAGACGCCAGGTATAGACGCCAGGAGCCGGGTATGGACGTCAGGTATGGACGCCAGGTATAGACGCAGGTATGGACGCCAGATATAGACGCCAGGAGCCAGGTATAGACGCCAAGTATAGACGCCAGGAGCCGGGTATAGACTCCAGTAGCCGGGTATAGACACCAAGAGCCAGGTATAGAGGGCCAGGAGTCAGATATAGACGTCAGATAGACGCAGGAGTCAGGTATAGACGTCAGATATAGACCAGGAGCCAGGTTAGACGTCAGATATAGACGCCAGGGCCAGGTATAGACGCAGGTATAGACGTCAGATGTAGACGCCAGGGCAGGTATAGACGTCAGATATAGACGTCAGGAGCCAGGTATAGGCGCCAGTAGCAGTATAGCCACCAGTAGCCAGGTATAGACGCCAGTAGCCAGGTATAGACACCAGGAGTCAGATATAGACGCCAGGCCAGATATAGACGTCAGATATAGACGCCAGGGCCAGGTATAGACGGAGGTGGCGGCTGGGTGTGGGCTGCGGTGGTCAGGGGAGAAATAAGCCTCCACTGGTGCGTGACCAAGTAATTCCCGGTGTTATACTCGTGTTATTGTTATGTTCTTTATCCAACACCGAAGCGATTCACCACCTCCTCTTACCCCCTCCTGTCTCTTTCCAACCCCATACTCCCACCCCTACCCCCTCTTCCCCTCCTCTTACCCCTCCTCTGTCTCGCCCCAACCCCATACCCTCACCCCTCACCCCCTCTTACCCCTCCTCTTACCCCCCCTCCCTGTCTCGCCCCAACCCCATACCTCACCCCTCACCCCCTCTTACCCTCCTCTTACCCCCCTCCTGTCTCGCCCCAACCCCATACCCTCACCCCTCCCCCCTCTCAACACTTACACTTTAAGGGTTTCGTTCCTCTGGTTATTCTTCTTAATTGTCTTTTGTTATTTTTTGTCAGGATTTGAAATCAAAACAAATCAGTGTTTTCTCCCTCGATTTTTCCCTCGAGTTTTTCCTTTTTTTTTTTTAGTGACGTCTTCTTTGGTCCACATTTATAAGAGTTTCGAACCCTTGTGTTCCCTTGGTGACGAGAGATAAAGGACTCGAAACCAGTAAGATTTTCCCGGAACTTTCCTTCATATGTGGACTTTTTCCTTTAACCTGTCGACTTTTTTCCCCCAATGGACTTTTTCCCCAATGGACTTTTTTCCCTTCCTAAAGATGACATATTTTATCTGATGTGGATTCGAGAGAGAGTAAAGATTTTCACACTTTTCTCTGCGTGTTTTGTTTTATAATCTATCTATCTATCTATCTATCTATTCTTGTCTCTCCCCTTCTCTTTCTCTCTGTTTCTGTCTATGTCTATCTCTGTTTGTCTGTCTGTCTGTCTGTCTGTCTGTCTCCAGGTGCCGTAGGTCCCACTGGGGGCGTCTTAAGGAACAGGATGTGGAGGGTCTAGCCGGTGTGTCAGTTACAGTCAGCCGCGTCAGCCATGGTCAGCAGTGTCAGCCATGGTCAGCCGCGTCAGCCATGGTCAGCCGCGTCAGCCATGGTCAGCAGTGTCAGCAGCGTCAGGAAGTGGCTAGTGGCGGAGCTATGATCTTCCTCCACCATTACGAGCTAATTTTCTCCTGTGGGAGGGAGGAGGAGGAGGAGGGAGGGGGAGAGGGAGGGAGGTAGAGGAGGAGAAAGAAGAGGAGTTGGAAGAAGAAGAAGCAGGAGGAGGAGGAGGGAGGAGGGATGTCGGTAGTGAAGCAGCAGGAAGAAGAAGGAGGAGGAGGGAGGAGGATGAGGAGGGGAGGGAGAAGAAAGAAGAGGAGTTGAAGAGAGGAGGAGGAGGAGGAGGAGGGGAGGAGGATGAGGGAGGAGAAGAAGAGGAGTGGAAGAGAAGCAGGAGGAGGAGGAGGGGGAGG